CTGCCCTATGCAGGAGCCGGTGGCAACCAGAACTCATGCCTGCATATGAGACGGGTCGCGGTGGTACCAGTGGAGAAGGAAGGCCAATCGGCCTACAGGCTTCATCATTTTTGACCTGGAAGGCAATGGTTTGCTTGCCAACCTGTTGCAACGGCAGAGATGGGAGATTGTTCTGGTGTCAATCTATTTGAAGTGTGGGGAAGACCTGAACTCCCATGCAAATGCTACAATCCTTGGAGAGTTGGCGGCTTTTCTTCGGGAACTAGCAGTGCCCTGGATTGTCATTGGGGATTTTCAAGTCCCGCCGGAGCAATGGCAACGACATCATTTGCTCAATGTCCTCAAAGCTGAAGTTGTGAGTCCAGGGCAGGCCACCTTGATCACTGGGTCAGAGATTGACTACGTCCTTGCTAGCAGCAATGTGGCACCCTTCTTAGATCTCAAGCTGACGTGGGAGGTGCCTTGGAAACCTCATGCGGGCCTTGTACTTACAGCCAACAAAGCGGCACCCCGGCTTATTCTGCCACAACTCATTCAATATGCAGCAGTGCCAAAGTTGGAAGAAGCTGGCAGGTCATGGGATGAGTTTGCAGCCTCCCCCAAGGTTTTCTGGCTTGGAAGACCGGCTGGGCCTAAAGGGCAGCAATGTGCAGAGTGGTGTCATCAGGCTGAACAGTACGTCCTCCAAAACTTGAGTGGGCCCAGACAAGGACGTGGCTGGTATCTTGCGTTGGAGTTGAAGCCTTTGCCCACCACCAAGCCCCTCACGCCGTGGAGAAAGGGCGATCTGGCCTATTGGGGACAATTCTGCTCCATCCTTTCCCATGTGGCAAGTCGAGGAAGGGTTTCCTCCACCTCTTTGGTTCATCTCAAAACCAAGGCACAAGATCTGGACAAGCGGTGGCAAGAAGTGCATGGCAAAGAGGCATTTGTAGCAGCATTGGAAGATCTGGTGAGCGGTGTGAACTGGCCCCTTACCTTGCTGATCAAAGGTGCTGAAGCCAACCGGGATTTTGCCAAAAAACTTGCTCTGGAACAGCAGTCCAAGGAGTTTCAGGTGTGGTTGGCCCAGGCCTCGTTGCGGGGGCACAGTGGTATCTATAGAAGCCTCAAGGCGCCTGATGCTGTTCATGTGCGGCCCTTCCGCAACATTCCTGTCCAAGATCGACAAAAGATGCGTGAGCAACAGTGGTATGGACAGTGGGAGGTGATTGACAAGCCTCCGGCCAGTGGGGAAAGTGAGAGGTTGAGATGGGAAGCTATTCAACAAGCTAGGAAGTGGGAAGACTTGGACCCGCACTGGGTCATGCAAAAGTTCCGGAAGTTCCCGCAAAAGGCATGTGGCCCAGATGGCGTTAGTTATGCCCTTCTCAAGAACTTGCCCATTGAAGGCGTCACTGCATTGTGCCACATGTTTCGGTCCTGGGAGCTTGCAGGAAGATTGCCTGACCAGGTATGCACAACACTGGTGTTGCTGTTGCCAAAAAAACCGGACATTTGAGAGGCCAATCTCTTTGACAAGTGTGCTCTACCGAACCTGGTGTAAGCTTCGATGGGACAAACTGAAGCACTGGCAGAGCAGTGTTGGCCACAGGTTGCCATGGGAGCGCAGTATGCCTGGCACGCAGGTATTGCACGTTGCACTTATGCGATTGTTGAAGTGCGAGGTCAGTCGAGCAGTTGATAGGCATGTCATCAGCCTCCTCATCGACCTGCCGTGCTTCTATGATTCTGTTGAATTGGCCAGCCTGCTTGACCTATGGGAACCGTTGGATTTCCCTGCAGTTCAGATGAATTTTCTGTACGAAGTGTACAGTGGACCACGGCTCCTACAAGCAGAACAGGTTACAAGCAGTCCAGTACACTGCAGAAAAGGCATTTTGGCCGGATGCCCCATGGCCCCGCTAGTTGCCAAACTTGTTCTTGCTCCGGTGATTGAAAGCTTTGTTCAGGCACACCCGAAGGCTTCAGTGGACGTGTGGGTGGATGACATTTCAGTCGACTTCACTGGACCTGATGCCACCACTTTGCGCAACGAAGCTTTGGCTGGATATGAGGAGCTCAAGCAGGGACTAGAGGCAGCTGGTTTGACACTTTCTGTCAGCAAAATTGGATTTCTCACTTCAAGCACTGAATGCAAGCGCAATCTCAACCTGGCCAGAAGGACTTAGGCCTGGATTCTAGTGGAGGAAGGAGACGACGCATTGGCGCCCAGCAACAGAGAATGTTGAAGGGGCGGGGCAGGCATTCCAAGTTGATGTGCTTCAAGTTGAGGTTGGCTACGGGCTTGAAGCTCAGGGCATTGCACCACAGAGGGTCAGGGTGCTGCAGAGACAATTGGCCCGGCATGGAGGTTTGCAGAAAGGAGGTAGTCCGGACATTGTCTTTGACCAACAGAGCAAGTTGCAGGACCCCAGAGACACTGCCATCGAGCGTCAGATGAAGGCCATGCGCCAGCTGCTCCGTGCTTGGCCGTGGAAGCGCCTTCAAGCAGCAGCGCATCCCTGGATGGTCGTTGCTGGACCAATGGCAGCGTTGCAGGCCTACCTGATGGAGATGAACTGGGATGCCAGCACCTTGGACGACTGGGTGCGTGAACCCAGGGGAATCCTGCCAGTTGCTCAGCTCAACATTGAGTATCCGTGGCCCTATCTGCAGAAGCAATTGCACGAGGAGCTGGCGCAACAGCGTGCCAGACGGATACAGGAGCTGGAGCATTGTTTTCCCATGATGAGGAGGCCGGATTGGACCACCTATCACAGGGTGATGAAGCACCTCAAGGGCACCAAGCGAGCAGCCATAGATGCTTGGACACAGGGCTCCCTCCGTACTCACACGAGTGGTGGAAGAGCGGTATGTCCTTTGTGCGAGGTACCTGTCTCCATGAAGCATCTCATCTGGGAATGTTGCTATCATGAACAGCCCCTACCAGCTGAGTGGACCAGGCTCATTGCTGCCAATGAAGATTCCATGTTGTGGGCAAGAGGCATGATTGACAGTCCCTCCTACCGGCCACTTGTAGGAGTTGACTCAGTACACACCACTGGTATTCTTGAGGATGGATGGCCCACACGCATTGGTCCGAGCTGCCGGATTGCCATTGGAGTCAAAGCAACCTGCAAAGATGTGCGTGTGCAAAAGTATGCAGTTGCTATTGTTGTAGGTCAATGGACAGATGGTGGGTGGCATATTGTTGGCACGTGCACGGCCCTGACACCAGGCAAGCCTAGTGAAGCCAGGGCATGGGTTTTTGGTTGTTGGGTGATCCTCCAAGCCTTCTTGGGGCGCCATCAGATCAACATCCCCAGCCGCAGTGGGTGGCAGGCACTTCAAAAAGGGGAGACAAATGAGCTCATTGCAGATCTATGGCATAACCTTGATGCTAAGGAGTGGTCAAGGTTGCGCACACTTCATGTTCCGCCCAAGCTGCTGAAAGGTGACCAAGGTGATCAGAGGGCATGGCTGCAATACCAAGAGGCCCAACACTGTGCCACCCTACCGGCAGTGCAGGAGACGCTGGAGGACTTGGTACAAACCCTGCAAGACAATGATCACTGGCATAGTCAGGTCTATGAGGTGGCAGCTGAGAAAATTGCGGCATTGTTGCAAGACAAACAGCATTATATGCATGACAAGCTCTCCACGGTTGAAGCTGACTACAAGGTCAAAGTGCGGGCACCCAAGGGACGCATTGAGGTGATGCAACAGCTCACTCAGAGGGAGCATGCTGAAGGGCAACATCAGTGGGCCCTCAAAGGCGGAGGAGTTCAATGCAGTGCATGTGGGATGAACATAAAGGCCTGTTCCACACATGCTGAGATTGAGAAGAAGGATGGCACCATCTGTGCTGGACAGCGCAGCCTTTCCTTGACTCAGCACATGCAGCAGCTTGTTGATGAAAGCGCCTTGATCCCGGATGACACTCCCGGTCACAGATGGGTGCTGCGAGCTAGTGCCTTTAGCTGTTTGCGGTGCTGGAAGAAGGTCCCTCGCAGATGTGGTAAAGATGCCCTCCGAATCCTGACCAATCTCCCGTGTCAGTACATGCAACTACATGAAGGGGACCTGCAGCTTCGAACCAGGATTCACACCAGCCATGCTCTGTGGAGGAGGGGCGAATGGCTTGCTTGCAGCAAGTGTGGCAAGGTCACGAAGGACGTGGGTGGCAAGGTTCAGGCATGGACACAAGCCCCTTGCAACACGGCATCTGGGCAACAGAAGCTGCGATTTGGTCCCAGTTCCAGCAGCTAGGGCTGCTTTGGTTTGAGGGTCAAAGGCGAACGATCCTTTCCCGGGGCCACTTTTGGCTTGTGCCGTGGCCGTGACGTAAGCAGGCATAATAGAACCGAGAAAAAATAAAGAGACGGGGATCGAGGCGAGTGATGGACAAACACGTTCGATCTCACTCAGTGGCTTCCGTCTGCTGGATCTGCTTCTTCATAATCATTGGAGCTTCGTTCTCCCATGTTTTTTGCCTGAGATGAATCTGAATCGACATCGAGCTTTTTTGACCCACCCTCCACTGCAGATGTTAAAGCTGCCTTGGGTTGCGGCTTGCGAGCAGAGGGTGCACGAATGACTGTGTTTTTCCAAAAATTGACCTCAGGATTTGGGTGACAATCGCAAGTTCTGGATGTTTTCGCAATTGATTTTTTTTGAGGGAATCATGCAATTCTGGGATTTGGGGTGTACAGATGTTGCAACTGGCTGATGATGGGCACCCGTTTCTATACTCAGGCAAGTGGCTCAGCACAGTGAGTCACCAGATGACCAGAGCCTCTTGGACCAAAAGATGCCAAAAGGACTTCTGTCTTTTCGTTCCAAAGGTCCGGTGTGAGGGAACCATTTGAAAACTGAAGATGATCACCTGTTGATGTGGAGTGGGCGAGGCTCACGTTCAGACTGGACCAGGCGACCCATCGCAGCAAGAAGCCGCGCCCAAGCCGCACACCCTGGCGCTACTACCGCAGCGGCCGTCGGCATTGGCGGGCGCGCTGGCCATGTGCGCGCTCCGGTTGCAGAGATGTGTGTGGACCATTGACAAAGGAATCTTTGCCATGGTCTGAACTACTTGGACCACAGCGCGAGTTTGGTCTCCACACATGCTTGTGTCGAAAGACCAGTTCGTGAACATCTTGGTAAAGTTTGGGCTGTTGTAGGCCCCAGGCTTGCTGGCGAAACCATGAGGTGGCAAACTGGGCCACCCCAGCTCTACCTGCAAGTGCCCCAAGGCATCCAAGAACCGCGTGCCCACACATCATAGCTTCCCAAAAGCTTGGGGAAACTCCAATTCAAATACCCCCCGCTCAAGGCCACCGGCCACCGGCCCGGTCACCGACAAAAGGGCACTGACAAAAAACGTATATACTCCCCTCACATCCTTCTGTCCTACACATCATCCTTTGACCAAAAACAAGGCCACGCCCGCCCTGCCACGCGGCCAAGGAGGGTGATACTCAGGCGGCCGCTATGGCAGGTGCACGTGAAGCGCATCTGGAGCAGCTGCGGAAGCAGGTGCCATGTTGTCGGTGCGACAGCCACGCCGTGGGTGTTGGGGGCCCATTCTCTTGGGGACCAGAAAAAGGTGTACAACACAAGGAAACGATGTTGGAAGACCATAGCCATATCCTCATGTGTCTATGGGGAAGTTTGACCACGCACTCATGTATATCCATCCATCCATCCATCCATCCATCCAGCCAGCCAGCCAGCCAGCCAGCCAGCCAGCCATCCATCCATCCATCCATCCATCCATCCATCCATCCACCGACCTATACATCCATAACTTGCAGGGGTTCCCAGGGCCACCTCCCATAAGGAGAGCAAGATTCAGCACAGCACCCGAAACCCAACAAGTTTCGTTCTATTTCTGGGTTATTTCTTCCTTCTGAACTCAGTGGTCTGGGGATTGGATCTGGTTTTGCGCAGGGGCAGATCCTCTCTCGCTCGCTGGCGATCCTGGAAGAAGATGAAGAGGAGATGCCGGAGGAGAAGGCGCAGGGTGTGTGCAGGTCGTGGGGGTGGACACAAGTAGTTTCAGGTGGTTGTTCACAGAGAAAATGTCATCTATGAGATTGTTTGATTTGTGTGTCAATATTGTCAGCTCGGTTTATGTACCGTCCCCCAACATGAGCAGAACCTTTGGATTGTGAATGATCACACTGCTGCTGCAGGGCAGTGCCTCAGGGTATCTTTATGTTTCTTACATGACTTTCACAGCACAATGCGAGGAGGTAGAGAGAAAAGCATAGATACACACACAACCACACACACATCACACATGACCCATACACCAGAACAATTCGTGTGTGTACCGCATAGGGAACAGCATGTCGTTGAAGGTCTTGTGATGTGCTTTCGTGTATGATTTACATGGGGAGACCCCTCAAAGGCGTTTGGGAAGAGCGGGCACTTCAAGGTCACATGCCGTGGCCCGATGATGAATGTGCCGATCTGAAGGGCTAGCCGTGCTGTTGGGCTCGCAGAGAGAGAAAGCATTGGCAGCATTGGTGCCACATCCCGACAGGTCCGTCCCGACATGTCCCATGCCGCAGAGGTGAACACTGAAGCATTGCATGCGCTGATGAAGATGCTTTGCTTCAATGGATTGCGGATGGAGTTGATTCAAACAAGGCTGAGCAAGGCCAAGGGACCCACGGGGTTACATGTAAGATACTGTAAGTCTACGTTATCCTTCCGTATTGTACATGGTCCAGGAACATGGAGTGGAATCTTGCTCTTTGTACTTAAGACTCGCATCTTTATAATTGCTTCAACTTGCTTCAGTGGGACACTTACCCCCTGCGCGGTCTTTGGAGGCGTGCCAGTTACTTTCAACACAGGACGCAGGAAGTTCTGTTTTCAGGACAACTCTTATGCAGTATGTGCCCCTCTCTGAACAGTTGCTTGGCCGTCTCCAGCAGCCGAATGCACTGAGGAGGGAGAACCTTTTTGGGGACACGGACGCGCAGTTCAACAACGCCGTGCAGAACTTGCCCTCGGTGAAAGCTGCTCGGGAGAGAGCCATGCAGCCGGGATTGCAGAGCCCGGCCTGATCAGAAGAGTCGTTGGGCTTTCTGGACTAATTGAAATTCACGGAATCCTCCAGGGAGATGCAAGCAAGCTTGGGTAGAAGTATGCAATCCGGCCCAGTGGCGCACGTCCGGGTGTGACAAGTGAAGATGTTCAACATTTCGGGGTCCTTTGGACCATTCGATCTTGAGGCACCCATGCAGAGAAGAACATTGGAACTACTTCACAGCGGAACCATACTAGTAACAAGAAGCTACTAGCTACTAGTAGCTCCTGGCATTGCTACTATAGGGGCGAGAAGCTACTAGTATCTTTGAAATGATTCCTGCAGCTGTGCCGGCTGTGCCCGCAATTTGCCAGGCAAGCGCTGGACTTGCCCACCTCTCTCTACCCGACCGCTGTGCGAATGACTGAACTGCAGCACTGGACGGACCGAGTGAGCCACCAAGCCAATATCCTTTGCTTGAAACGCCTGAGATGCTTGAGACGCAATGAGCGACGCGTTCTGCGACGTGTTTGGCGACGCGCTAGTTCGCGAGAGTGACAAATCGCAAAGAGCTTGTGACAAAGACGCTCTATGTATACTTTCCTACAGTGAGCACTACAGTGAGCTGAGTCTCTCGAGGAGGGGGGGCCCGTTCCAAGATGCAGACTTTTCTCTTGATGGATTGAAATCACAGTTTCTTGGACGCCAAGGACGCCCACTGTCCAAATGGTTCTCCAGCCGTGGTCTCCACGAATTACGAGCCGCTTAGGGGTTTGGGCCCCCGACTGATCTCGAGCAGTCCTCTTTGACGAGCCAGATCTGTAAGGCCAACAGATCTGTAAGGCTCCACACTTTGTTGGGAACGTTTTTCTGGGCCGATCCGTCCTCCCCTGTCCCCTCGTGGTCCATCACCAGGATTGCTCGCAGGTCCTCATCCAGCCGTTTGTCGTGCCGAGACTGCACAGTGCCGAGACGGGCGGGGTCAGCTCCCAAACACATGACATTCAAGAGTAAAGATCACAAATTCTTTTGCAGCCCTTAGATGTTTTACGATGTTTTGAGATTTTTGAGTCGAGTCATGCTTGACCTTTCCGGAGGTTTGGGCTATCTTGTTGCCCTTTGGTGTCCACATGCAATAGGCAAAAGGGAACAGGGCTAGATCCCAGCCCCCTGTTCCATAGCAGGTTTTGGTGTTCAATGTTTTGAAACAAAAACAGGTGACGTAGGGCTCTCTGGTGTTGCCACCAGAGCATCCGGTGATTCCAACACTTACTTCCTTTTGTCTCCTCAGCGGGCTTGGATATCAGCATGTGTTGGCAGGCGATGTCTGAACCGCGCATCGGTAAGAAGTTGATGCCAGCACAGAACCATCTTCAGAAGTGCGAGAGTTTCTCGACCCACACCAGTGCGATCACGACAGCGGACGGTCTGTGGAACCTGCGTGAGCAGGCAGGGGTACTCACAACACCCCGCACGCACCGGTCAGCCGCCAGTTTTCTCTTTTTCTTGTCTGCATCGGTCAGGCCAGGCGGCCGAGGCGCTGGTGACCACCGGGATCATGTCTGGCCACGGCAGCGGTTTGTTCTTTGGGCTTGAGGTGGGGGTCTAGTCTTTCGGTGTTTTCGGAAAACCGATCCTTTGTCGGGCATCTAGGGGTGCGACGAGGGAGCCGAAGTGGAGGACTTTTGTGGGGAGTGCCGGAAGAGGCTCCTTCATCCGTGGTTCCATGCGTTGCTGAGAACATTTCTGGACATATTCCGGCATGCTAGTTGCTCCATCAACCAGAGGCGTGATCCAAGCGACTTGGACGTTGCATGGTGTCACGCGGCCGCACGGTCGAGTCCTGCGTGTGAGGCGGTGCCGCAAGACTTTCCGGAGGTTTTGGAGGCCCAAACGACGTTTGGGTGGTGCTTGGAGTGGTTGAACGACGACGGGGGGGCAGTGTCGCAGTTCGGGTAGCTTGGAATGTGTTTTTTTCAGGGAACGTTTGGGTTGTTCGAAGGGGTAGTAGGAGACCTGTCCGACAGGGCATCGACTGGCTTCCATAGCAGCCCCTCCAAGACCAACGAGACCAACTATTATATAGTTGAGAGTTCCACTTCTGAATGTTCATAAATGATCCAATCCAATTTGCTTAATTGTAATATTTCTGATCGCCCCCCATCAATAGACACTGCTACTGTATATTACAAAAACATAAATAAAAATATATATATATATACATTTACCATGTTCCGTGCTGCTGTTGCGGGCAACGCTGGTTCTGCCACGGTGTCCTCCACCCCAAACTTTCTGTTTAGAGATGCCAAGAGATGCCATTTCTCAGGTCGAGAGTCCCCAGATCCCAAACATTCCCCAACCCAGGAGTAACGTGCAAGGCTTTGCTTTCGACCGCCTTTGTGCATGTGTTTGGCATTGTTTGGCCACGCGCCTTCGTCGCCCGACCTACTGTACCACTCGTGCCACGCGTCCGCGTGCCACGGGCCGAAGCCCGGCCGCCCGGCTGCAGGAGCTGAATCGCGCATGGAAGGGAGGCCACTTCGGGCATTGGTTTGGCGGCCCACGGGCGGGGAGATATTTGACCTGCACCTTGGAGGAGCGATTGACCGGCAGAACGGTGGCGGATGGGATGGGGTTTACCGATCTAAACGACTTTGATTTATAAGGCCTACTAACCTCCTTTTCATCGCATGATTCTTTTCCCGGAAGCTTTGGTCTCATAATGTATTGTGAGCGGATTTGGTCAACTCCCAAAACGTGGCCAAAAAAAGATTTACAATTCTCACTATGACGAAAGCACTCTGCGGCACTTGTTCACTTCCAGATCAAACATTCGATGTTTTCTTTTGTGAAGGACTTTTGGTCTTGGAAGTTCTTCCACCTCTTCGCGATCGTGTTGCGGATGCAGGCGCCGTCTCCCAACGGTCTCCGTTCGGAGACACTGGTGCTGCGGGGCCGGTGAGCGTTCATGCCAGAACCAGTGCAAACCATTCACTTGTCACTTGTAATAGTTATATAGACCTAGAGGGTCATACGGGTCATAGACATAGACTTTGATGACCAGTGATAGACCTGACATGACTGGCTTTCTGGAAGGGTTGAGGTTGGTTGGAGGGTCATCTCTGATTTGAAGCCCGCTTTGATGAGCTGGTGACTCGGTGGCTTGAGACTTGTCCATAGGTTGGCTTTTACATGTCTAGAGTCTAGATACACTCCCTAACTACATGGAAATGGAAAATGGACAGGTGGTTGTCCATTTCCATGATGATTTCCAACGAGTGGGGCGCGATCGCACTGCTGCAGGGTCTGCTTTTTGACGTATACGTGGCCCGTAAGCCTGGTACACGAGGGTTCCTGTGCAGGGCCAGTGGTTCCCATCGATTTGAGTAGGCAACTTGGATTTGTAGCTCCACGCCCGTGTAGACACAAGTGACCTTCTTCAGCACCCGCACACATACACACCCGAGCACATACCATTTACACTGTATCTTGAGATGGGTCTAAGACATTTGACATGAATGCTAGCATCGTGAGACTTGACTGTGCCGCACCTGCTGCACGAAACGACCCTTACAGATTCGACCTGCATGTGACCCAAGCGTGAATGAAGACCCTAAATTACAACATGTTAATACTTACCTCAACTGACAGTGGAATCCACCACTTTGAAGCTTCGCACTTGGAAGTTGGCAGGATGATCTACAGCTGATCTTGGAACAAATGGGCTCTGAAGGTCAACGCTTAAGCGGCTTGGAAAAATTCCTCGGTGACGACGGCCTGAGCCCCGATTTGACGACCGGGGTACGACCGGGGTACTCTGCCTGCAGAATGGTCCGGAACTCCAAGGGGCGGCGGCCTTGCCGTTCCGTTCCGCATCACCAAGTGGGCGGCCATGCATTGTTGTCCATGTTGAAACACATGGGGTTCTGATGGTTCTGCTTCATCGCATGAGTGAACCTTTCTGGTCGCCTCTGCCACAAAAGGCATGGAGCAGCAGATCATGATCAGCCCCTGGGTTGCAGTGGGTGCAGCGTGGCCAAACTTGGGCACCAGGTCGCTTCCGGCTTGGGACACATCATGGACCATGGCTTTGGAACGCGTGCACGCGTGCAGACTCATACAGGAAGATCGTCTTCCTCCTGTGCGTTGGCCCGTGCGAGTTTCGAAAAAACCCATGGCCTCTTTTCCAAGGGGCGGCCATCAGAATTCTCCACTTCCCCATCCAGGCCCAGCATGGCCCAGCTGATCATGCATCAAGATGGTCATTGGATGTGATTGGATTGTTGCAACCCGAGAATCCAGTCCCAGACATTGGGGTGGTTTGGGGAGTCAATCGGGCGGCATATCTTCTAGTCCCATGGATGGTCTCGGAGTGGAAACGTTGAAAATGCTTCCCTCTCCAATTCCTCGGGCCCCAGATCCAAGAAGGATGGAATCATATGGAATCCATCCCGCCTATCGATCACTTCGATTTCAAGGGGATGGATTCATTCCTCGCTGTGATCCGGTGGAACTGGTGAGGCTTCCACAGCCGCGGCCAACAGCTGCCTCCTTGGGAGGACGGCGCCGGGCGGCGGAGTCGACGCATCAGCTTAGTGTCGCCCGGGTGCGAAGAGGAGCGGATGATTGGGATGATTGGGATGTGAGTCTTTCCGGGAGGATGGCATGTCCTTTTCATTCTTTTCATGGGGCATGTCCACATCATTCTTTCACTGGAAATGGTGAATTGGGATGATTGGCATGTCTTTTCATTCTGCAATGTTTCATTCATCATATGAGCCACGTTTTAAACCTCAGTTGTCATGTCAAGTAAGGAGATCCTTGTAAGGACCTGTGGCGTAAGCAAAACACTGGTGGGCGTAAGCCCGCGTAAGTAATTTTAGGTAAGCCCGCGTAAGTAATTTTAGCCAATGTTGTTGGCGTAAGAGATTTTTAGTGATTTGTGAAATGACAGTTTTGGACAAAGAACCTTTTATATTCCAAGCTTACAGCTTAACATACATCCATGAGATCACTGTCAGGTTGCTGGATATTTGTTTCCTCAATTGGCGGCAAGCTCCATGCTGCAGGTTGAATGTGATTCTGATGATTCTGCAAGATTTAATTGCATGGAAAACGAAATCATGATAATTCCCACAATGAAAAGGGTTGTCCACCAAGACAAGGAGTTTTAACAACTGCACTGTACTATCGGATGGAAACAGCAACACTGTAATGTGCCCATAGTGTCATACCTTTTTCAAGACCTTCACCTCCAAACTTTGTTTCCGGGTTGGAAGCCAAAATCCACGTAAGGTCCGCGTAAGGTCCGCGTAAGCGGCGCGTAAGCCAAAGCTGCTTTTGCCAGTAGTTGCCCATGTCTCCCAAACACAAATCATTTTCGCAACTTGGTGCAGAGCGCCAGCGACTTGTCGCAAAGACCGTCTCGGACATTTTGGAACAACGTTGCCCTTCTCTGGATGAAGCACACCTCTTGCCGAACAAGGCTTTCTCTAGATGTCAATCTGTCCTTCCTGGCCTGTCCGCTATCAGTGGTGCCCAGTCTGTCTGTCATGCCCGCGCGCTCAGCAGAGGTGCTGCCAAGAAGCGTCGTCAACTTCGTCATCTGCGGGCTTCTTCTGTTGCTGCGTCTTCATCGGCTTCATCTTCTTCGTCCACGTCATCATCTTCTACTGCTTGATGCTGCCTAGAAACGCCGCGGTTCCTGCAGGTAAAAGTTGCTGCGCGTAAGCTGGGGCTGTGGCCGGGTACTAAAAATGTCCAGCGTAAGGTCTGCGTAAGCCGGTTTATTCCGCGTAAGCAAAACTGCGCGCGCGTAAGCAAAACGTAAGACGCGGCATAAGCGTTGCCTTGTTTGGTGCCGGGATATAAGACGTTTAAAACACAGCTCATATGTTTCTTTTCATTCTGCATGCATCATGATTTTGCCAGCTTGCCAACTTGCGAGGAAACGCCACTCTACCATGGATCACCCTGGATCTTCCAACGGCCAACAAATTCTGATAGTTTTCGTCATTGGCCCCGTTTCTGCGCAACGGCCGCACATCTGTGCAAACGGCAAAACGATCACACATTAGTCAGATTAAATTAGCGTACAACACACGAAAAAGGACCGCAACCGACCGCAAAGAACAATACACCAAACAAACGGGCCAACACAATCACACAACCAAGCCGGCCGAACTTATGTCATACAGGTCCAAGAATCTGTCAAAAAAACCTCCTCACGCAGCCTGCATGGGGGGTCGCGACCTACTGAGTCGTCGACGTCCGAGTCAGGCGACGGTCGCAGCATGTCTTTGTCGACGACTCCAACTCTTTGGACAGGTAGATAGAAAAGTCGATCCTCACGTCGAACATGTATCGGACACCGTGCGTGTTTTTTTTGGGGTACCACGTAATTTTGTAATATAGAGTAATACCCGTCATACCCCAATCAGTGCATTGGCCAAAGCGTTTTTGGCCTAAACATGGTTCCTATTGGTTCCAAAACGAAAGAGGCTTCTTGGTGGGAAAAAAGAGATGAAGCATGGTGAACAGATTTTATTTGTGTGAATCATGTTTTTCATGGGGACACATGGAGTCTGAGATGCATATTACGGAGACATTGTATATAGTTCCGAATGCGGCTTGATGAATACTGACTGGTCCTTCTGACCACCATTGATAACAGACGACGTCAGAACATGTCAGAACTGCTTCCGAACATGAAACCCCGTATACACACCTAAAAAGCACCCGGCCCGGTTTTTGTGTGTTGGTTTGGCTGTTGTCATTAGGCAATCAAGCCGACACAGACGAAACATTAGAGCCATCAGCTGAGGTTTCATCCCAGCCACAGTCATCGGCGTGTCAGTGAAGGTGGTGCGCTCCGCTTGCACAAGAAAGGCCAGGGCAAGAGCTCGCAGCTCGCTCGCTTTGCACTTCGACAGGCTCGCAAAGAACATAGTGGGGCAGTTGTTGCACTGGCTCCTGTCCTACCCAAAGGTAGATGACAAATCGCGACCAAATTGCTAGTTGAGACCCGAAAGTGCACAGGAACCTTTGACATAAGGTACATAAGTTGGGTTTCATCGTCGTTTTCCACTAGGCCTGGCCAACATGATCCACAGACCGGCCCCATATGGCGAATGGCCTATGGCTGACCAAGAGGAAGAGCAGACATACCTTGTAGTTGTTGTCCTTTCTTCCATTGACCCGAGTAGGTTTTTATCCGGTTTGAGGAGGGAAACCCTATGTTTGAGATAGAGCCATATGACATCCTATAGAGCCATTCTCATGTGTTCGCATCGCGAGACGCTCCAACACCTGATCGAAGGCACAGCACAAGTGGTGGAAGTGCCGGGCGGTAGTGCTCACTGGGCCATCTTCCGCACGGCAGAGGTCCGCCAGGAAGTCACCAAGGTGCGCTCTTCAGCCCAGCTGGCTGAAGGCCTCGTCAGGTGGCAGGGCGTGTTTCCTGACAGGCTCGTGTACCGAGGCCAAACGGTTTTCTCTGGAGATTCCAATCGAGAAATTCAGATGTGTCAGCAGATCATGATGATGTTGCTTCACTAGTGGTGCTGTCCATTGCGTACATAGTCGCAGGCCATCTTTGGATTAAGATTGAGTCCTCCCATTGTGAAGAGCAATTTGCATCGGAACATCCGCAAGAAGCATCCAAATCCCCTTCTGGAATAGCTGAAATCCGATAAGCTTAATCCTCAGCTCATCAGCGTATTAGCACCTCCTTTTCTACAAGCCCCCTAGCGTGTTCGCATTATTCGCGTCCCCAATCCCCAACAAAGATCAACTTATTTTGATATCCCGCTCCCTTTCCTACTGATCGGCTCAACGTAGACTCTTGATCAATGACACCTCCATATGATATATGAAGAGGTTGTTCGAAACTTACATGGGGGGTGTTGATGATTGAATTGCACCCGAGCCACGGTCGGTTGGGCCACGCCACGGTCGGCGGATGGGCTGCTTAAATCCAAGCGAGCCCACCAAAATAAACTAGGTCTGCCCACCCACATGCTGGATGTTCCATGATGTTGCTTTAAGGCTTTCATGAGCTCGAAAACATCGCGTTTGTCCCTGGCGGTCATGCCAGGTCAATCTCCCCTGTGGCCGCTGGTGCATCACCGTTTGTGCGGAAGACACCGAGCTTGCTCGCAAGCTACGGCCCGAGCACTCCGCATTGGTGAACCGCGCTGGTGTGGTCCTGAGGGGGAGGGCGCTCGGCTGGTGCGTCCCAAAGGCAAACCACCTCTGGGGCATCTCAGAGCGATTTGATTGGATACTCTACATGAAATTCATGATATATAGTTTGTCCAAGCGGACGCCTGGGAGCTCCTGGGGAGTCTCAAACTCCTGGATTCCTGGCTCAAGTTGTGGAATTGGACCGAACTTGGAGATATTCCAGGAGGATTTGCGGGATTCGAGACGGTGAGTCTCTGTGGCACAGGGATGTTCACAAGTTTGGCATGTTTTGCAAGAGAGCCCAGCTTGGGAACAGGCCTATAGCGGGTTGAGGATTTGTCTCACAAGTCTTCCAGCACCACGCTTAAGACATCTCCAAGATTCAATGCGTTCCTTCAAGATTTACGGTGTACACAATGATTGTGGGACATTGTGAGTTGTGAATTTATTTCACTCCCCTCACCCTGAAGTTCACAACAATCGCGCGCCCTCCGAGGCACAGACGTTGGTGGGCCTGAGCCAGTGCGGGAGGCCCAACAGTTCACGGGATGAGCTAAGAATGATGGGCTGGCTTGCTTGAGTCCAACAGAGGTTGAGACGTTACCTGAACAGGGACCGGCTTGCCATCTCGCAGATCTTCATGGACAGATGTGGCAGCAGCCCACATTCCTCCCTGTGCCGGACAGGTCACCTGCGATTGCTGCTCCTTCTCCGCGGGCGATGGCATTCTTTTGACCTGCCCCGGCCAGCACCGGCTTTGCCGGAACTGCCCGGGAGCCCAGCCCGCTCACGGGTCGGCAGCCACAGGTAGCCGTTGGTAGCCGTTCGCTTCGTCGACCGATCTGATGCCCCGCTTCTCGCGATGCGAGACTTGTAGAGAGTGTTTGGCCCCACTCCTTGGCATCCAAAGTGAAGTCATGAGAAGGTTAACCAGGTTGACCATGTGTTTAAACTCAGTTTAACCACAACAAGTCCAGACCACCACCGCTGTGCCAAAGCTCGGGCGCTTCTTCCGAAGCGGTGCACCTGCGGTGCGTTCGACATCGTCTGACCTTTTCGTCAGGTCTTTTGATGGAACTTCGCCGGGAAAGCGTGCCCAGCTGCACGGCTTGTGCAGCTCAACTGAATATGTGTTCGTTGTTGTTTTTTCAATCATTCTGTTATTTTCTCTTTCATGCTGTTGACATAGAGGCAATGATCAAACATATTTACTGGCTAAAATTGTTTGTGTGTCTCATCCGCTGCAAGACTGAAAATAGAAAGATCCTACAAGACTTTAGGGTACAATGTGCAGTGCTGCTATCAACTGTGTCCCCTGGAAGAATGGAAGATCCATGACGATCGAATGGATCAGTTCCTGGTTTGGCGTCGAGTGTCCATTGACCGACGTCGGCGTCGCGTGTACCGAAGGCGGGCGAAGGCGATCGCATCCATCTCTCCTCGGTCTGGGAGCTGATGTCGCAGGAGAGCCGGTCGCAACGACGTTCGGCGAACGACCGGTCGAGTAGATGGGATCTTTGGGCAGAATCGGGCTTCATCCACATACATGGCATTGGAATCCGATTGGGATATAGACTGAATGTATATTATGTATATTGTATATTATTGAATGTAACATATGTTTTTTCTTGATAAAATGTACCATGTACACTCTATGCATAAAGCCCCAAATCCAAGATCGATCGACATCCAATTGCTCAGGACCACACCGCTCTGGATGACCTGGGTTGTTGCTGCACACCTGGCGCGGAAGGCTGTGACAGCCAGATCGACGTGGGAGCTCAGGTGGTGGTCTTTGGCCAGAGCAAGTCCAGTGGCTCCGCGATCGCAAGTGACGTGGGGCCTCCGGCCTTTGCAGAGTTCGACTGTGCGACGCACGATACGTGCTTCGTGACCTTCGTGGGGAAGCAAGGCTGGCGGACCAAAAAGGGTTGAGACCTTATAATATTCTATTACAATAGAGTGAAGTTTCAGGGTTTCGCATGTCGAGATTGGTTTAGGACGGTTTAGGCACTCTAGCACTCGGCAATTGGACACCTGTTTGACTTGCACAGGACTTGTTGGAAGATCCAGGTATGTAGTACTTCAAGATGTCAAGATTTTGCCCTTGGGAAGATCTTGCCCCTTCTCCCCCCGGGTCAAGGACAACTCTGGGCTGACAAAGCAAAACAAGAACATTCGGCTCAACTCCGCTGAGGTTTGAATGGTCAACGTGGTTGGACTCTCTGGTGGGACTTTGAGAAGCAGCTTTGGGACTCTCAGCATGAATCGAAGTATATTAATAATATTAAGTATATAACTTGCGTGTGGCGGGACCCAGGTCAGACATTCGCCTGGCGTTTTCAAGAACATGCATAATTGTCCTGGCGCCACTTGTCCTGTGCAAACTGACCTCCTTTGGGACGTAGACGCATTTGTCGCAACAGCACCTGGTGCCTCAGCAGTGTGAGTGAGCATACTTGTGAAACCACCTGTGCTTTCATAAGCCAAGCTTAACCATGCTTCACCTGTATGCAGTACTTGGTCCTTTTGAGTGCCCAACACCCATTAACTCGAGAAATGGACGAGAACCATCGCCACTGTGCTTGACCAGCTTGCACCTCCCCACCGGTTGCCCAGCAGAAACGAGTCGGTGGATCGGTCACTCGACGTGTCGTCCATTCGGAATCCCCTCCTAGGAGGTGCTCCTGCCCTCGGGCCGAGTGCCTCGGATCCGCACTCCGCCGGGGCGGCCGATCGGGTAGTGGGACCATGTGGGGCGGTGAATAGGAGACAGCACCCGTTCGGGATTCTGGCAGTCATGAGTCATGTTCTTACATTACGTGTTCCAATATTGGAAGTAGCGTCCTGGCCATTCATTCTCAACGCACGGGGTTTGATGAACATGTTGGACTCGTCCGACAAACAATTCGACCAGCAGCTCTTTCAGAAGCGGTTTCATAGACAGTTCTAGAAATGTCCTACTACAAACATCTACAAACGAGCTTTCAAATTCTGTGGGACACCTGTTTTCCAGTGGGGACGGCCGATAGAAAGGGGCTTTGAACATCTGTAGGACCCCTGTTATCGCTTGCTATTTGCTTCCCAGACACTCCATGGGACTGCCATGTCGGACTGCCGCCCCAGACAGGACCCCCCTGGCCCCACTCCGCGTCTACCCCGGCAGTCCTATGGCAGTCCCATGGGCCGTTCTTTCGATCCTTCAGGTTCTGGCCTTGCGCGGCTCAGAGCTCGCGCTCGCCGAGGTGAGACGGGAGGGGACCCGGCGCTGGACCCCCCCCTTGGGCGAAGTCATACGGCACACAGTAGTAATGTTGACTCATGGACCTAACCCCCTACCAAGATCAACCAAGGATGGTTATGATGGTTCTATATCATCAGGAATCAGGCCTGGATGAACGCCAAAAATACAATAAATTAATTTTTGGCTAACTCCCTCACCATTCATTTTCATTAAGAATTGCAATTCTTTTCATTCTTAATTTCAATTCATATCTTAGAAGAGCTCCTATAGACGAAGACGGACAAAAATATTAATCATGAAGTTATCATTATAATATTTTTGTTGTTAGGCCATGAATTTTCTATTCTTTTCATTCTTTTCAATCATATAAAATTCATGGTGACCGATAAATTTCTTATTTATCTATTTGTTGTTCCTGCGTTCCTGGTGTAAGCGTAACTTCTCGGAGTCTCAGTTTCACTTGTTTAACAATGTGTTTTTGTGTGTCGGTGCTTTCCGACATTTTCCGACCTGTTATTTCATGTTATTTCGTTTTTGGAGTGCATAATAAGTAGTAAGTAGTAAGTAGTCCAATTAGGAACGCCTCATTCACATCGGACGGAACGAAGCCCGTCTGTGGGAGCTCCGTGGAGTGTTTCTTCATCGTGTGGGGCTCGTTGGACATCAAAAGCACACATTATACACATTGAAGTCCAGGACACCGTTGAATTGAAGTCCTAGACTCCTAGACTTATGGTGTTCTTCCGGAGTCCTAGTCCGGTCCTAGTCCGGTCCGTTGGATTGGTGTTCTTCCAGGGCAGACCTTTGGACCGAGAGGCCGGTGGATCCAGGGGGATCGCCAGGCCTGCGAGGGTCGCTGCATCTATGATTGCCCCGCCTGGCAAGTGGGCCGCCCGGCAAGAGAAGGTGGGGCCAACACAAGAACAACCCTTGAACATCAATGTCTATACAGTCTATTGAGTCTATTGTATATTACATGTTTTTGTGAACAATTTGCCATGATTTGTTCAGGCCATTTCAGGCCAGAACGACTTCGGACGATGTGTGCCAATGTGTGCTACTGTATACCTTAACCAGACACCCAGAAGGTCTCATTTGAAAGGCTGATCACCCAAGTGTTACCTTGTCCTTGCAAAGGGTCTCTGGTGCTTGCCCTACAGAATCAAGGGCATTCTCACATATTTTCACCATTCTCCCAACAATTTGATTTCTTCTGAGGCCTCGCATGGCTCAAGGGGTTGAATCCAAGGGCTGGCTTTGGGTTTCCAAAGGCCATCAATCACCAGACAGGTCAAGAGATGACATCTCGTGATGTCCGCCCTTCCCAGTCCGAAAAAGTTCAACCCACAACTCACCGACCGCGATCCAACCACCGAGATGTCGCTTCCTTCAGCGCCTTGGCGCGCGAATGTGCTGACTTCTTCGCCATGCCGATTGAGGTCGTGGCTTGTACCCGGTGAGTTTGGGCAATCGCTGCTGCGTGAAGCTGGGCATTGATGAATGCTCCGGAGATGCCCACTGCCCGGCGCCACGGCTCTTGAGAGTGCAATCGGTGAAGCGAAGCAAGTGCTCCAAAACCGGCATCACCACCGGCAAAGTACGACGTACACACGAATCCTTCCAAGTTGGAGGCCCTTTTGCAACGATTTCATTCAAACAGGATGTGTAAGTGGTAGATTTGAGCAGTCCACATTTTCCCCTTTGGCCGTGTGTTCCTCGGTGCTATTTGCGGAAGTCGGGCCCAGCAAAACCACCCACTGGGGCACCCCGGGCGTTTAGGGTAGTGATGGCCAGGTGACTTTCAGGAGGTGTCAGCTGCAGATTATGCTTCCAGAAACCATGAGGCCATATTAGGCCACCAGGTGACAGAGAATGAATCAAAGGCAATTTCTTAGAATGAACACCCATTTGCAGGCTATACTACTTGTATATGGTGCGAGTACCGTGTGCAACGACGCCGCACCCATTTGAGGTGGGCTATCCTTACTTTCACGGCGCTGAGTGTCTCGTCGGCACCCGGCCCGATGGCGGGTCAGCATACGGCAGATAGACCGGGGTTTGACCCGCTAGGGCTCCCTGGAATCATCATGCAAGTGGATGGCATGGCCCCTGGATGACTCATTTCCCCTACACCCGAATGCACAGATCACGTCTGTAAGCCTCCGGTTTACCCGGGTGGGCCACGGAACATCACGGTGAACGAACAAAACCAAAACCAAACCCCTAAGGTTTCAAACCGAAGGAGGTAAGGTGTGAACCCAAAGCGAATTCAGTGAATGAAGTTCGACATCGCAATTACGTCTATAAGGCCATTCGCACCTTGGCAAAAGAGTGTCAAGCGAATCTTGATTCAAGACCATGCTCCTCACTTTGTTTTGTACGTATACGCTAACATCGCTTAACATTCCATTCAGGTAGACAGAAACAAGGCACCGTTTGCCAGAAGAAGTGACACTCACCCAGTGTGACATCCTGTGCAGGTGGATAAGTGTAAGCGGCTGAGTTTGTTCCCATAAGACTCATTCTCTCCGCAGAAGCCCTATGACTCATAAGGCGTTTTTCAAAAATCCTTCTGTGGTGGAACCTTCGGATATATAACCACACACAGGTTCGCGGGGTGATTTGCTACACAAACATGGAAGACAAAGACACACAGTATCCCACTACGACGACGTTGTGTTTAGGCACACACACACAAACACGGCAGATGTTTGCATTGAATCGCTTTTAGCCTCCCATGTTGGTTCCGTCTTGCCTTATCATAGAAGAACTTATTTAGGCCTTGCTCTGAGTAGGCCCATGTTTGGTTCTTCAGATGTTGTTCTCTTCTACGGCAGATGTTGGTCTCTGGCCTTTTAGAACTGGGCGTTTGGAAGTTTAGATGACTCCGGGACGTCGGACGAGTCATGCCTACCACAGAGAGGGTCCAGCCTTCGTGCTCCATGCGAGCCTCACAAGACCAAACGGAGGCTGGACCCCCAACAGAAGCCAAGGGTTTCCATAACGGACCTAGTCCATGGCATCACAGGCAGGTCACAGGCATTCCCGGGAAAAGGAGTTCTCGCAGATCATAGCCGTCATAGCCCTCGCAGAATATATATATATATGTATAATATATAGTCAAGTCATCCGCCAGACTATGCTAGACTCCTTTGTGTGTTAGTGTGCTGCTGTCTCCCCTACCAGTTCCGTGTAGCTCAGGTACTTGCCCTTCGACTCCTTGTTGTGCCTGGGCTATGCGACACCGGACGGCCTCCCGGACACCCGTCCGGCCCGTCCGGTGCAGTTCTGCGTGCGGTGCGGAACTGTCACCAGCCGGCACTGAGGACGTCATTGGATGCAGTTCTGTTCTTCTTGCGCCACGATTTCGCCAACTTCTTTCACTACAATGACATGGTTGACGTCCACCCACCAGGTGGATGGGGAGACAAAAGGGATCATCGGTGGAGCCAGTGGCCACCAAAAGGACCAACCCTTTCAGACTCCCTGATTGAGCAAGGTTCCCGAACTGCAGGTGGTTGGAGTGCAGGTGTCTTCAACTTCAACCTGCTTCAACAACCTGATACAATGTGTCCCTTTGCGTGTGGTGTTTCAACCAGAACCACCTGTCGGCGTGCTGCGCCCCCTGACTCCAGAACGCCGAAATGTGCGGACCCAAGCCGCAGCCCTCCCACGGTACAGCGACCAGGCTTGGAACGCATCATTTTTCACAACTACCGCTCGTGGATGCATACGCGGCCTGGACTGGGCGAGGGTAGCGAGTCGAGCCCCAAAACAGATCCATTTGGGCCCGATGGGAGTCGTGGATTCACGGGGGCCACCTATTGGGATACGCAGAGGGGCGCGGAAGAGCAGCCTGAGGCGGTCCTTCATGTGCTCTCCGGATGGATCCACTTGAGCATTTCTAAAAGGCATCCAAGGGTCCATCAAAGTCCCAACCAGTGTTGGCAGGAGATGAACAGCTCCCACAACCCATCATAACCCATTCCCTAATATATATTTATATATATATAAACCTTTCAGAGCCTTCCTTCCCTTGGTTTTGAGCCAGCCCTGTTTCCCCAGGTTTTGACAGCTCAACTTGAATGGAGGCACCTTTTTCACCAACCACGGTACAAGAAGAAAGAGCTCCAGTACCAAGTTGTTCCACAAATTGTGCTGAGTATAATGGGTATTTTTTATTGTTAAAGTGTTTGTAGCAGCTTGACTTGACCCCCAAGAGTGGATGAGGCAGCTGAGGGTCCAAGCTACATTTAATGAATTTCATGACCAGCTCCAAGGTTTTGACCATGCTTGACCCATCGTTGTTCTGCTTTGACCGTTGACCGCTGATCAGCGGAACCTGAGGTTTCCACATCACCACCCGCAGCTGGATCAGCCCAAGTTGGATCGCCGCATTCGACGCTTCAGGCGCCTAACAGCAGCGCGACGGGAGGAGAGCAGCGCCGAGCATGTGTCCGAAGGGTAGCAGCCAGAGGGTGCTAGCAGCTTGATTTTGGGGTTTTACGATAGACTGCCCTAAGCTACTTGCGGATCTCCATTGAACACACCTGATTGCTGAAGAGGTAGGTTCCAATTATTTGACTCAGGTGATGCTGCCGGGCTTGCAAGGGGAGGGATGAGCCCCGCAAGCAAATACAATAGACTCTATAGCTTGCTGAAGCCGAGCCACCAAACGGACAGTCAAAGAATGTGAATTCATTGAAGTTTCATCTCTTCACTGCACTCCTTTGAACGAATTGGCTCGCGTCCGCCCAACAAACGAGCCAACATGTGCACGACCATAGACCATAGAATTATAGAATACGTCAAGATATGTGAAGACTGAAGACTGTGAAGATAAGTTGTATGGCCAAGATGTATATAAGTCACCCTTGGCCTCAAGATGAGCTTATAGAGCTCAAGATGAGCTTATTGAGCTCTATATAAGTTCTATATCCTCACTGAAAAAGAGTGCAAGATAGACTCATTGTCTTGAGTGAAGCCTTTCCCTGCCGCCCCAGCCGCAGGGTGCTCTGCCGCCACAGCCGCGATGTGCGGGGCGCCCGGCCGTTGCTCTTCGTGCGCTACGTGGGCGACGCGCCCGGGGAGCTCCAGAGGCCCGGTGAGCTCGGTGGATGGAGGTGAGTAGAGGTTATGGCTTCGACATCATCTATGCGAAGTGAACAATGAGCGAACGAAGGAGCCATGTATAGCCATGTCCACCAAAGCCATGCTTCGAAGATGTGAACGAATTGGACGACTGGGATTGGTTTCGATAGATGGTTCTCTCTTGGAGAAGCAGACCTTGAATAAATCCTTACTAAATCCGTTTTATGAGATTTGATGAGATTGTAAGACAAGACCAAGGGCAGTTGTGATTGCCGCTACGTCGCTACGTCTCTTTTTAGAGACCTTGTCAAGGTTGCTGGTGTGCTACATCACCTTGGCCTGGCCAAGGGGTTCAGCACGTCTATGTATTTGTTAAGATGATGCCAAAACCTCCAACTGGGAAACCGAGTATTGGTTTGCCTGAACGTTGGAGCATCATGGAGCATCCCTAACTTGATGGGACGCATGTTGGGTCCGTGTTTGCGGAGGGTGGGGGAGTTGTTGGGCGAAGGCCGTTCATGGGATGCTGATTCATGCAGCAGGCCAGGTTTTCTTCACTTATAGTAATTAATACTGTACAATACTGTATATAGATGAGACAGGTGAGACTGTTTCAGTTGAATGGAGTGGCGCAGCATTGCTTTAGATGATGTTCTTGGGCCTGCAAAGCCTCCAGCCTTTTCCTTCTGCTTGTAGGGATTGCGGGTTGACCCATCCCTGTTGGTGAGGTGTGGGATTGGCCTCTCTCATGCCAGAATGGCAATGTATCACTGTATATCCTCACTTGTGAGGCTTGAGGAACTCTACTCACTGCTGCGGCTGTGGGGTGGACCCAACATCAGGCCGTTTGTTGCTCGGGGGGGTTGGTGAACACTGATCGGGATATGGAGGATATTATGTGAAATCATTGTTGGGTTTGTTTGGAATGAAGGGATGCTAACGGCTTTCAGAAGTGTTAGAGCAGACGCTTGTTTGATGTGTTTGCCCTGCCTCGCTACTAGTAACAAGGGCATTACATTACTACTAGCAGCAAGAAGCTACTAGTAACAAGGGGGGCATTACGTTTTGTTTTATGTGCTCAGGCAGCTCCGTGCAGCCCAAATGCCTTTCTTGGGGCCCAAAAAGCGGGCAGGTGTTTTTCCTTGACGAACTGCATGTCTCTCGTAGGTGGAAACCATTGCCAGTATCTTCGGGGAGACCCCTACGTCAAGTCTCGCGAGGCTTTGCTATGTCCTCATGCTGCAGCGCAACAAGAAGATGCCCATGTCAACGCCAGCCCAGCTTGGCTGGGACGCCTTGGCCCATAGGTGCGGGAAGTGACGAAGAGTTGAGAGCGACTCATTGCAGGGTGTTTTTATGGTTAGTTAGTACCAACTGATATCTAGTCAAAGACACAGGTCCGACCACAAACCATCAGGAAATGAAGCGACTCATCCCCCCTGTAAATGAGCATTTGGTCATTTGATGTGAATTTGGTATTGACCCGCCGTCCATCCAATTCCAGTAGCTGGTGCCCCAAATGCGAGTGTGCCAGGGGCTCGGTGGGCAGTCTGGGCCTGACGGCCACTTCCGCACGGGGACGCCTCTATCGACATGCGGAGTACCCGAAGGCGCGGGTGGTTCATTTTTCAAAGATGAACCGATATGTTAGCCACTGTCCAGAACACAAAGGATGTATTATGACCAACACTTGATTCCGCAGGTCTTCTTTTTTGGAAGGTCTTCATGCAAGGAAGAGGTGCATGTGACGACCTTTGCTGAGTGAGATGCATGGTCGTCCTGCAGTAGACTGTGCGAAAAACCCTGTTCGACCCATTTCACAGGGCCGGAAGATACGCGCGGGACAGCGCGGAACGATGGAAACTGCCCAGGTGCTGTTCTACCTGGTCGATGGTCTTGTGGATGTTATGGATTTCAGCGTGATTCGACAGGCGGAGCATGGCTGGCTGTTCGGGGAGCTGAACTCCCCCCACATTTTGGTGAACATGTTGAACAAACAACTTAAGTATATAGTATATAATATATAATGATTTGATGTCTTTCGGCGTCCGGGTGTGCTCCTCTGAATTCAGATTTTGGTTGAACAACTACAACCATACTACTACTACTACTACTACTACTCTATTCTTTACTTTTGCCGATGGCTTGGGCTTTGACACATGAATGACACTCCAACCTTTTGCTGCAGGGAAGGAGACATACCGACTCAAGTTTTATGCATTTCCCCACCATATCCCACCCATTTGGTTGGAAGGAACGATTCGCCATGCTGTTCAGAGACAGATCATCCATCGATTTCCACCAATTTCCACCCGATTCTGTGGAGTTCCCCCCCAGCCATGGCCGCTCCACACGGTGGCGACCCACGTGGCGACCCGTGGCGTCCGCCCTGGCGTCCGCTTCGTGAGGCCTTGCGCTTCAACGTTTACGATCACGCAGGGCTTCTGTTGGATTGCCCTGCGGTCACCACGGGCGAGCTGCTTGAGATGATCGCACCCTTCAAGGAGCCACCACGGTTTCGCGGATCGATCTCGTCACATGTCGATCGGTGCGGATCGATCTCGTCACTAATCGTCAGATCGTCCAAGACATTTCGGCTCAAAGGGTGGCACATTTCTTCCAGCACCATTTTGGCAGTTTCAATTCTCAGCATGGCAGCTAGTCTCTGCGAGAGACAGCTAGTACCTTTATAGATGCCATTGCCTTCGGAGCTAGTAGCTCAAGATAGCTGAAGCCTTAGACTATAGAGGCTGGCATGACTATGACACCATATGGCCAACCTGCTCTTTAGAAGCTTTAGCTTGGTCCAGTCATGTGACATGCCGCATGTCCAGGCCTGAGGTTGGCTTCAGGTTTGCCGTGGGAACCTTGATTGAGGAGACACGGAGTTTCATTCGAGATTCTTGAGCTCAACGAGGGCCACTTCGAATGCGTGCTCTGTAACTCTAAAGTTTCCGTGACCAGACAATGGTTGTGATGGCGGCAATTTGCTGGTCTCCTCCAGTGACTAAACGTTGGAGGGTTGAAGATGCGCAAGGGAAATGTGCCTGTGTATCGCACAAATAGGGCAAACACCAGAGCACAGAAGGAATCAACAAACTTGCCTTCTTAGACTTCCCTTGTGTAGATTGGAATGGCCTGAGCCACCACAAGCCGGGGACTCCATCGGTGGATACACCCTGCACAATCTGGAATTTGGAGAAGCAGAAGATCGAAGCACAGCTGATTGCTCAGTCAGTCAGTTGGGGCAGATGGTTCAGTCAGGATCTTGGCATAAGGACTTGGATTACTCAACCATCTTCAATATTATTCAATCATTTCAATGGATACTCCATGAGTATCCATGATATATATATATGTTATATATTTACATCAGAATGCCATCTCAAGCACTTGCCATTCTTCTCGTCACATTTTCTTTGGGCACCCACGTGCTTGGCCATCCCACTGTCACAGACGGCGGTTTTGCACCGATTTGGGACATTGCAGCAGCAGCTATTCCGCACACCATTGCTGGCGTAAGACGGCAACAATGAAGTGTATGTAGCAAACACGGTGGCGGATAGCAGTTTCACCAGTTTCAGGTATAGAAAGACGTGTGGAGTTGCTCAAGAATTCTACGGCACCAACATGGTGCTTGGAAAAGCAAAGCTCTTGGTGAAAGTTGCCACCAAATGATGTTTTTGGTTGCTTCATGCTGCATGTTTTGGTAGGTGCACTTGGTGTTTGTTTTGTTATATTAATCGCGCTAACCAACTTACAAACTGGGACAAAACAGAGAGACTACCTGAGCCAGGTGCCTTGAGGGATGTGTCCGGGGCATGTAATTACTGGTCAATGCCACTGCAAGAGGACTCCGAAAAGAAGGACTCCTTGTACACGTTGAGGGACGTTTCACGAAAACAACTGCTGCGACCACCTTTTTTCGGCCTCAACGCAGCCTTCAATGCAGCTGGCCCCCGTAGAATGATCTCTGCTTTCGCTGCTCGGCCCCCGTTTGTTCCACTGCACGAGCGACGCCGGCGTCGCTCGCGGTCGTGGCACAGCTGGCGGCCGGTGATGGTAGGGTCCGTCACCGATGTCAGGACCCCTACACCAACAAGAGCCAGACTTGTATTCGAACCTGGCTGGAAAGGCCCACCGAGCGTGAGCAGGAGGCAGGGGTAGGGGCGTGGGATTCGGGAAGATGGACATTGGCGGGAACATTCAGTACAACAGCATCCAGAAAGTTGATAGTACATCTACTCTCTGACTCACCAACATGGAAGTGGAAAGGGGCCCTTGACCATTGGATGAGTATATTTTCCTTGATGATTTCCTTGATGAGCAATGTTTTGAACACTTCATGAAAAATATTGACTCGGACAGCATGTCCAGCAACGATCTGCTCAAAGGGTCAAAATAATGTAGACTCTTACATACATATATAATTCATACACTAATAAATATATATATATATACTATATTACACTCAGCAGAGCCGGCTAATGTAGACTCTTGATGAATACCCTCCACATATGAGTCATGCGGAGTCTTCCCGGTCCCATGCTCTGACAATCCAAAAGGGTGTTCTATTCATCAAGAGTCTATGTGATGTGTTGGTTGCATGTCTTCGTCACTGTCAGCCACCGGTTTCCGGGCCGGAACGTGGAGCATGCTGCCGGCGTGTCGAGTGTCATGGTGGATTGTTCCGGGTCCATTCCAAAGGCTTCGAGCATTTGGGTGAGCACATGGCTGGGACAAGGAGACTGGGGCTTCCCACTGCAGGAATGCAGCGAGCAACGATTCATCCTAGGGCCTAGGGCCAAGAAAGGCAACACGGCCCGCTGGCGGTGAATTTAGGTTTTCTAGAATTCATGGTGATATCCACCAATCCTCACACTTTTTCCTTCGTGTGTGTTCAGCGTGGTTTTCTGTTTAGAAGTGAGCTGTAGCCAGTTGAAGGATCCAAGCATCTCAATGAATTGGTTTAAGATGGTTTAAGGATGTTTCAGGGAGAATTTGCAGGTTTTCCTGTAGATTTTCCCTTAAACCAATTCCGGGAGTGTCTCTTCTTCTTAGTGGAGGAGTGAACCAGTTGGTTGTCCACATGTTGTTTTCCGACATCATCCCCTTGTAGAGCCATACGTCACGTGATGCATAGCGATACTAAACAGAAACAGGTCCCTTTGGTGGGCCTTGACCAGGTGGTGAACGGCTTCTTCCCGGACTGCCCAAGGCAAGCTGAACGGACAGTGGTAGTGCTGGTGCGTTCGAGGGCTCTCTTCCGATATTGGTTACACTGCCATGACTGAACGGGGTTCTTGAACAGCCAGGTTTGGTAGTTTGTTCATGCCCAGCTGCCCATCTCGCTTGTGACAGTGTCAAAGACAGCTCAAACTTATTGTCACCAAGGACTAGTGGCCTCGAAGAAGGTCATTGACAGATTCCCACAAACTAAAGATAACTAAACCTCTACTTAAACATACTTAAACTGTTCCACGAAGTGATGTTCACCACTGGGAGGTCGCTCGGAAAACATCATCACGTAAAATCACACCGGAGCCTCCGGTGTCTCATTCTGTCAGACTGCAGGGCTCAACAGCCAGATCAAGGGCGGCAGCCCAACCAAGTGTTGCGCCTGGCGGTGCAACGTCTCGACCTGAGGCGGTGCCAGCTTCGGTGCTGCGATTCCGACGGGGGGGGTGGTGTTCGCAGAGCTTTTCGAGCTCAGGTGCACTGCTAACATCCCCACATTTGGGGAGGCATGCGCAGGATGAAGTCAGCCAGCATCAGCCAGCTAACACATTCTGACACTTTGTATTTGAGGGACGGTCCTTTTCTGCACTTCACGGGTCCAGATGGTTGCTTCCTTCCCTTTTCGTTGCTGCTTTCTTTGGGTGCGCCATTAGCGGGACCGTGGAGGTTTGCCAAACCCGTAGCCCAAAGTTTGGTGACCCAGAAGTGAATTTCAGGTGATGGACTCAGCACCTCCAAAGCTAGAGAAAGGTTTTCAGGTTTGCTTTGCGGTGTCTGGTTCTTGGCTCGAACACTCCAGCTGGATCAGGACCAGCACTCAAATCTGTTGGATCAAGAGTGGGTCTGTTAGGGGCACGGTGCAAAACCTGGTGGGCAACCTACAAGTCAAGAAGAGAACATATAAATTTACAGTAACGGCGGTAAAGTGTTTTGTCCTCTGTTGTGCTCACACCTGTCCCTGGCTCAACAGGAAGCTCCAGGGCGTTCTGTCGGACGCCGACGCCAACACGTGGGACGCCCACGGCCGCCGGCCACTGCACGACCTGTGCCACGTCGCAGGCGCGACTGCAGCAGCAGCAGCAGCAGCAGCGGCAAGCATTGCTCGGGTGTGTGTGTGTGTGTAGTCCCACTTTGGGGAATTCTGTTCTGGCAGAAGGCATGTGTTATTACTAGTATGCTAGAATTACATAGTAAGCAGGGCACTCATTCAGCTCATTGAGTCGAGCACTAAAAGGGGGAACGCTCCGGCCGGCCGTCGTAGGTGAACAACGCTCACGCTGTGGACTGGCGAACATTCTCCAGATCGCGGCCGAACTCCTTTTGGCCCATGGGGATCCCCGTGCCCGCGCCGCTTGGCCACCATCGCGCGACGGGGGGCGTAAAATTGCGGATGTGTGTGGCCCGGCCGCGGAGCGCAGCAAGCGCAACACAGTTCGCTTTGCAGCTGTCCTTCTTCAAACATCCGGGAGCTCAACATGTTGTGATGACATGCTGTGTTGGATGGGTCCTTTTTCTAAGGGTGCACCCTGGTTGAGATCGGTGCCCCACAGCTCCCAGGAACAGGCCAGGAAGAAGGGCAGAGTGATCGAAGAGAAAGGACATCAAAAGACATCAGAAGATTCCGTTGTGAGAACAAGACCGTGAACTTTGTGGAATGGCGGAGGGACGCCATTGTGTTTGCAAGCACCTTGAAAGGGCCTCGAGAGGTCCGAGTAACGGCCCTTTGGGGGAGGTTGAAATATCAGAGATCTTTCTAAAGTAGATTATACATATTTATTGGACACTGCCCCCCCCCCACTAACAGCCAAAAAACAGACTTAAACTTAAACACCCACAAAAAAAGCACAACCAAAAGCAGAGCAGAAGCCAGGGTCCAAACCCAAGGCAAATTCACAGGTGCATTCCCAGCCACATGAGCAAGGCCATTCCAAAACAAGGGGTGCTACAAGGTAAAAAAAAAACTACTGGAAAAATGTGGCTGAGCAAAACTCAGAACAGAAGCGCAGCCGCAGCTTCATTGCAAAAGGAGAACCACATCACCGCCAGCAGCAGGCCCTTCTGCAGCGGTGGGAGGCTTTCGCTTTGCAGCCAGATGTGAATCTGCAGGGCTTCCTTTTGCTGCAGACAGGTTTTTGCTCTGCAGCCAGATGTGAAGCTGCAGGTTTTCCTGTTGCTGCAGACAGATTTTTGCTTCACAGCCAGGAGTGGAACTGCAGTTTTGCTGTTCGACTGGAGGGAGGCTGCCACTGGCCAAAAACTGCACCTGCAGTTGTGGACTTTTTGCTCCGGATGTCTGCCACAAGTTTTTCAAACTCCGAGGACAACATATCACAAAAAAAAGCACAAGAAAACCCACAACTCCGAGGACAACATAGCATAAAAAAACGCACAACCGAAAACACAAAAAAGAACCACAACTCCGAGGACAACATAGCACAAAAAAAGCACAAGAAAACCCACAACTCCGAGGACAACATAGCACAAAAAAACACAACCAAAAGCACAAAAAAAAACACAACTCCGAGGACAACATAGCACAAAAAAAAGCACAACAAAAAGCACAAAAAAAACCACAACTGCGGGTTCAGGTTGTTTTGCCTGGGCAAAATGACCTGGCAGTTGTGCTTTTTCTGGTGGGCTATGGGCACCCGTTTGCATTTACTTTTGTAAGGCAGGGCCGTCCTCCAGGCAGCCAGCCCAGCCAGGCAGCCCAGCCAGCCAGCGACATCCATAGAAGCCCAGCCAATCAAGGTGTTGAAGAACCGAAAATGAAAACCTCTATATGTGACACTGTGTGTGTGAGACTGGCTGGCTGAGGATGCCCAGTGAACAAAGACACTGAATCCAGCTTCCTAGAAAAAATGCCTTGGTTCTGTCAGGGGAGTTTGGGAATTTGTGCTTGGATCAGCTTCCAGATTCAAAATAACAATGATTTTTGAATTCTCTGTTGTGCGTTTTTTTGTGGTTTTGTTTGTGCTCACTGTTAGTGTAACGAGGCAATGTACAACATATATATATATATCACTAATTATACAGATAGTTATATATATATATAACAACATGTACCATATGAAATCATTTGTTTAAGTGGTCTTACAATCCACATGGGGGGTTGCTTTATATAGTCAAAGGTTCTACATTAGCAAAACTAGTATTGTCGTGACGTGTCCTATCCAAACTTCAAGCTAACTATGTAACAACCGTTTCACAAACTGGGTCGTCTTGCGAAAGCAAAGGGGGGGGAAGAACGGCCAAAGAAATGTGGAGCTCCTCTGCCCCCCTGGCTCGCAAGCATGTGCTTTGACGACCCAATCCATCAGCATTCCAACCAAGCTGCGACGAACGACGAGCCCCAGCGCGTGAAACAGGGCGAGCGTCGTTTTGAACACCGTGAAACGATCTTACTTGGGAACCACTGTCACATCGTTGGCTGAAAACGTTTTTTTTGTTGGGTAAAATTCCTTCCGAACACGGCCACCACTGACAGATCGTGGTTGGTACTTGTAAAGCACCGCATCAACCCAGTTTGTAGGAGGACACATGGAACATCATGGAACACGTTGTTTCTGGCAAAAGAGTTGCCGATTTACCAATTAACATCGGGCACGAGGAGAGTGGTGGAGATCCAAGATGGAGCAGCCTTCTTCTTTCTCATCAATCTTCCCTAGATCCGAAGTGAAGGATTTCCCAGAGGATTTCTAGAGTGGATCCTTTTTCAGCATGGAGGGGTTGGTAACGCTCTTTGTGCAGCCTCATCTTCAGGACAAAGATGGCACCACTGCCTTGGCGCTTTGCCGCAGACTGGTTCCAAAGAAGGCGCCAAGTGCTGGGAAAGTGTTCCAGGCTTTGGTCGGAAGTGTTGGAGTGCGCTTGGATGCGCTTGGTTCGGATTCTGAAGGCCAAGGATGTTGTACAGCAAAGATGGTTGTCAAGAAGTCCTGTAGCTGAGATCCCCTTGTATTCATATGTATTCATATTTTTGTGATGAAGCTGTCCTCTAAACAAGATCCCGCAAATATTTTCAAGACGAGATCGGCCTTGCCCAAAGTGAAACTCACAATTACTGTATGATTTAATACAATAGCCGTTGTGAATGCCATGGATTTGTTTTGCGCTTCAGGAAGCGCGTGTCATCGGTATGGCTTGGGCCTAGTCGTGGCTGCCTAGCTAGATTGAATTTCTTTGGACACTGTTGTCATGAGTCACCCAAATGGATCAATACTCCTCTCACCTCCTATCTTCTCATCCCGTATTAAATAATCGGGCGTTTCGCCAAGAGTAAACTTAAGGGGCCAAGTTCATTCTGTCCACACCCCTTGGACTACTTCAGGTGGGAGCTGCACATGGGAGACTTGTTTTTTCCGTCTCTTCACTGGTCCCGGTTCAGAATGTTCGCCCTCTTCTTCCATCAGATCAGGCTCCCCCTGAGCTCCTGGCGCTGCTTCGTGTGGCCGCGCTGGATGACTGCGGAGCACGGGCGTGCCCCATGCCAGTGCTGTTCAGGGCGCTGGAATTGATGGGGGAGCCCCTACGGAGCAAGGCGAGACGGGAAGCGGTGATGGGGGTTCCAACAGGGAAGACGGATCGCACCCGGAGATGCCGCCCTCCAAATGAAGATGAAGATGGATCATGCCATCGGATCACGTTGTTTTTGTTTGGTGATGTTTGTCTGAGGAGGTTATACAGTATAATGAGTCATTTTAGTTTAGCGGCGTGATGTTTTGGATTCATTTTGGGTATATAAGATGTTGCATGTCGAGACCTGGTTTGGAGACCAGTCACGCAAGAGAAACCCCCCACCACACCGAGATGAACACCTTCCATCCACCGCACAGTCTGTGGATTCTATTTAAATTCTATTTCAAGTATATAAATTCTATTTTAAATTGGATTCTATTTAGAATTAGTCTGTGGATTCTATTTTAATACTAATCCTTGTTTCTAATAGCTTCTTGTTACTAGTAGTATGGCCAGGAGCCCCGTTCGTAGCGTCCGCTCCGTCCGTCGCGATGCCCGACATGCTCCGTTCACGCAAGCTCCGCTGCTCCGCGTCGCGACGCTGCGACTCGTCCAGGTGTCGGTGAACTTGTTTGGTTTGAAGCCCTTGCGAGCGGTCAGTGATGCCGAGCTCGCGTGGAGGACGGGTTTTTGGAGGGAGCGCAGAAGAAGGCGGTTTTTCCGTGGTCCCGTGCTCAATCTTATTGAAACGATATAGAGTGATACAGATACGTATAGAGAATGAACCAGTGCTGAGTACTGGGGCGGCTAGGCTTGCTTATGGGTATCAGGGCCACTGACTTAGAAACATCATACAGCATCATACTTCTGTACTCATTGTGGCTCAGTGGATAGTGAGTCTAGTGCATTCTAGACCATTGTTCCAACATGAACTGTTCCAACGCAATTTTACTTCAACCTCATTTTGGCCAGCTCTGAATTTTCTGAGCGCAGCCACTGGATTGCAGGACCCCATCGCTCGGCCTTAAGGAGCAGCTGGAAGAGTTGGATGCAGAGCTGGCGCAGATCCAACGCATGACCGATGGGCGCGAGACAGTTGGCGCAGATCCTGTTGGGAGGGGTTTTGGCGGTTTTCGTGCCAGGACTTGCAGAAAGGAAGACTCGGGGGTTCACCGTGTTTCACCTGGTCCGGTCAAAACGATTGAAACTACCTGTCCGGCCATGTTTCGGCCTCGTTTGGTGCACAACCGCTTTTGGAGCTTGCGCAGGTCCACCGAGCCTTGCTCCCTTCGATATATATATATATAATTATATATATGATTATATATATATATATGAAAAATATATAAAAAATATAGATATTGGAATCAAGATTTAGGATCCCTTCCATCACCAGTGGTGCGCCACAGACTTGATGAACCGCCACTGGTTCGTGCAATCCAGTTCCCCAGCCGCCCACTCCAGGAAGCCAACGGCGCGACGGAAGGCGATCCGACGGCTCCTGTTCGAGTGCCTCGGACGGATCGTCGAAACCTGGCCTGTGGACTGATCAAGAGAGAAGCTTCCAAAGGTCCAGAGTCCAAAGGCCTACCACACTCGAGAGGAGACTCGGGTCAATTGTGTGGACATGGACCAACAATGACCAACAGGATTTAGGGTATTAGAAGTGCCCGGCCTCGTGCTTCAGCAAACCGTAACCAAGAAAGACTCATGAAACCGGGGCTCCAGCTGGTTCAAACGAATGAAGAGTGAAGTCCAGCCGACTTATATCCGAGTTCATGGCAGAGAAGGGATCCTTGAGAACACTTCACAGAGATAAGTTGCTTGCGCAAGGACGACCCTGAATCGAGTACTGGGCTTTGTGTCTTTTCCTGCTGGTCGAGCCGCGATGAATAACACTGGTCGACTAGGTTTGTGCAAGAGAATGGAAAGCCACCCGAGCTTCAACTACGAGACCTTTCAATTCGATGCAGTTTCAGGCCTTGTACATGAAAAAAGCCACCTGTGTAGAGGTGCTAACGGGATCTAACGGGTGTGTATCTTGGTTGTCGCGATCGCTTGGGCCGCAGCTTAGGTGGCACCCTGACAAGAATCAGCACAGACATGAGCTGGCAACGGAGGCGTTTCAGTACTTGCAGGCCGCTGGGGGCAGAAAGAGGCCGCTGGGGCTGGGGCTTGGGTTCATCCGAAATGGATGTTGGATGATTTTGGTATATCATATTATATAATGGTACATCTTAATATTAGGATATCCAAAAGCCTAAGGTTAAATGGTTTTGAAAATATTTTTTTTTTATGGTTTTGATATGGTTTATGATATGAAAAGGTGATATGGTTCTATGGGATGATACAATTTTGGATATGGATTTGGATATGGATTTTGGTAGGTTTCCTTTTTGCGATACAATTTTGTATTGAAATTTGTATTGAAATCTGTATTGAAATTTGTATCACATCCAAAAATCATATCGCCCAACTGAATCAAAACCCATATCAAAACCTGTAAAAAAAATAATCTTTGATTTTGGACACCTTAGGGGCATATGATGTCATAATCTTAATATGCACGTATATGTTTTTGCGTCAAGGTCTGAAGCATCCAGCACGGGACGAGAAGAGTTTGGATGGTAAGATTACAGGAAAGATTGGTTCTTTCAGAAGAATGGGGACTCCGCTTGTCTACTGGGCTGTACTTGTTTGGTACTCTGCACGCAAACTGGTTTCATCGCACCTTTGGTCTCGACTCCTTTCCGGGCGCCAGTTGCTTTGTTTGAGTGCACACACTGCCCCTCGCTGTTCAGATGCACTGCGCTGTTGCGTGGGTGGAGAGTCAGAGAGTCAGCCATGGCCGGACTGTTTTCGTGTGCTTCCTTCTTGAACCACTGGTTTCGAGGTCGGGTCTTGCCCCCGATGAGCTCACAGAACGCGTCGGTCGGGTGAAGAGCTTCACTTTGAGGGATTTCTGGGGTACATGAATGGGATCAACATGCATAATATCTGGGTATTCTATGTGTTTCTTTCCAGAACCATGGGGCCATGGGGTCCTTGAGTCCGAGGATAGCTTGTATGCCGTATGTGGCCATCAGCCCCTCCCGATCACCCTGTTTGGATGCCAAAAACGTTTGCCGTCGTTGTCGGCCTGCGAGCTCGTCATGTGCTTGGCGGGCTCACGGGACCAACGCGCTCGAGGATGAGCCTCTCTTCTTTGTTGACACGTTCGCAGAGAGCGAGCTATTGGGCAGTGATTCGCAGAGAGAGGGAGATGATCTTGGCCAAGAATGCAGTGGCTCTACTTCTCGAAGGGGTCAAGGTGACAGATGGCCAATGCAGCCCAGGCCAATGCTCCATTTGCTTGGACGAGATGGATGAAAGCCTCGAAGTAGTCAAGCTAAGTTGTGGACACGGCCAATGCTCCATTTGCTTGGACGAGATGGATGAAAGCCTCGAAGTAGTCGAGCTAAGTTGTGGACACCACTTTCACAAGCGATGCGTGACACAGTGGCTCCTCACCAAGAACATCACATGTCCCCTTTGCAAAAAGCAGCTGGCCGTCAGCAAGCCAAAAGCTTGTGACTTGTGACTTGATGCCTAGTGATGCTTGTATAAGAATTTTTGAGTTGCAATCTATTGCAACACCAGCAGCCTCGCTTGACTGAGAGCTTGGCGCTACCTTTGCAACTTTACACACTTAGCGCATCCCTTTGCGCATCTCCAGCTTTTAAGATTGAGCTGGACTTCCTTCCTTTGCTGTGTTTCGCTTGAACCTTCGAGCCCTAACAGCCAACAGTACGAAATCATCACCGGCATCAACAAGCAGGAAACACTATGTGGTTTAAAAGTTCAACCCTTCCTGTTTCCTATGCTGTTAGGTAGGTGCTTTCTCGAAGCTTCAGGGCCAACACGCGTCACGGCTTCACTGCTTGATGTAGTTTGGCCCTGGACTCGCGAGCTTGAAGCATAGAAACATGGAGGGCTGGAGGGTGCAGCTTACATACTGCCACAGCACTACTACTAGGAAGGACGCTAATTACTAGGAAACAAGGGCATCGCTACTAGGAGCAAGAAGCTACTAGTATCTCGTGGCATTAC